ATATATATATATATATATATATATATATATATATATATATATATATATATATATATATATATATATTGGGATCAGAGTCCCTCCTTGATAATCTTTATCAAGAAGATGCAAATAAAAGAAAAGGAAACCTTAACTTTTTTTCCCAAGCACCAGAACATTATTGACGGAATAAAAAGTGATAAATTATTTTTAAATTCATAATATAATCAAGTTCTGAGTGCTTCTTGGGACATACTGCAAAAAACTGGAAAAATTGGACTACAAACATTGATTGAAAATGAAAACTCACGTTTCACCCGCTTGAATAATAAAATCGGCCTCCTCCCGTTGTAGTAGTGTACATATATGTGTGTGAGTGGGTAGAGAATAGATGTGGAAATCAAAGAATCGGAAGATTGTGTGGAACGTTAGGATGGTCAAAGCGCTCTCACGTTCCATATTCACTGTACACTGGCGCTGGCTAACGTCGTCGCTAAGCCTGCACATCAACATCCTCATCCTGCAGAAAGTTAGCTGTGTTAACTCGTATGCCTCTGATCACAAAACTAATGAACGAGATGTATCTCGTCCGCTAGTTAAGCAATCAGGCACCGATCCGAGAAACACGCAAAATAACAAAAACCTGTCAAACAAAAATACAAGCTGTGTAACCCAAAATCTATTTTTGACTTAAGGAGAAATTTGTCCGAGAAGGTTCACCTTTCATGAAGATTTAGACAAGATTTCTACTTCTTAAAGATCTTCGACAAAAAATATCACAGAATGGAAGACTGTGTGACAACGACATCACAGAGAGACACAAACCTCAATAAATTACAACACTATAGGAGGTATAGCATTGATCTATGATCAGCGAGATATACACTTATAGTAATGTTCAAATATAAAAAGGAAAAGGATGACTTCCTAAACTCAAATTACCTTCCTCACCCACGCGTTATAACGTGGATCTTGTGGCTGCAATTCATCAGATGAAAGCACATTGAGACCAGTAGAACCGGTGAATTTACCCGGCAAATTTTTAGCGGCTGCCCAAGCTGCCATCTGGAATGTCCTACTGATTCTATACTTCACACATAAAGTGCAATCATCTAATACTCACCTGATCATCCGCCTCTTTGAGCAATCGAATGGCTTCGAAATCATTCGGATTTGATGCTAAGGTCAATTGAGCGCTAGCTCGTTGTGCTAACACTTTCGCAACATCTCTCTTTTTGGCCTAAATACAGACTAAGGATCAAGGATGGAAGAGTTCACTGCCATGCTATACCATTTCAATATTATCAGGTTCATGGATGATCATTTCTTCTTCTGCTGGTACAACTAGCAACTCTGGCAATGGCGGTGGAGGAGGCAACAACATATCGAACGCCTTAATAAACATGTTTTATCCTTTTTAAAAACTGGAGAGTGGAAAATGCTTACTGTAAGCTTTGGAGGAGGCGGAGGCGGTGGTAACAACCCGCCTAAGCCTGTTAATACGGGAGGGGCTGGTGGTGGTGGTAAAAGATGATCAGTTGAAGAGCTCTGCAATACGTTGCAATCAAAATCATAGATTTGATCAAAT